CTGTACACAAACGTGGAAAGATCGTACTTGCAACCTCTGCGCCAATAAGCCTACCACCAGGTATACAAGCGACAGGAAGCATTTAGAAATGATAGAAACTGTGTAGTTGGCAAAATATGGCAACAACATTGATATTTGCCGCGCTCTCAGGCGTCGTTAACGCTGGCTACCAAGATAAGCTTACATAAGAATAGGTGTCCGTGCTCTATCAACAGAAGTAATAAAAGAAGAAGACTGTGAGTGGCATATGGTTCTTTTTATCGAATAAAGTCGTTTTTGCAATATCCTTATGACAAGTAGGGCAACAATACATATTCTTTCGGTACAAGGAAACTGAGACTTCATCCAACCGAACTTGTAATAAACTCTAACTAGGCATTGTCACATGTTCTTCTCATACCTGATTCAAAAATTGAAGCGACAACTATCTCCTTTTTCAGGAGTCGTTTCTTCACTTGTACAACTGCAACGTAGTCCACAAGAAACTATTCTTAAGGGTTTCCGTAGTCGAAGCTATGGTAAAGATGTTGTCGTTGGGATGTATTGGGGACGCTATGATTCTATGCAGTCCTTATTTGGTCACATACAAACTTCGAGGAAACAAAGCCTTGGCTTTATGTCACTATCTGTTCTACAGAGTTGTTTAACCTGTTTTCATTCCCTGCACCGTTGGAGACTGTCTTTTTCTTCAAGGAAGTTTTCTCGACTCAAGTGTAACGTTCAACCCAGTCGAGTTGACTCGAGAGTGCCAATAGTAATAAATACTTCATCAGAAGAAGAAATTCCCAAGGAAACGTCTTGTAAGCATCCACGGATTGCGGAACTTACAAGGAATCAGTTGCCTACAGAGCAACTCTCGTGGGAAGATGTAGAAAGACTTACCTGCCACTTGGTACATAAAATTAAGGAAGAACAGTATATATTTGACGCAATTCTTGCCATTACGAGAGGCGGTCTAATTCCTGCTACTATTGCTGCGGAAACTCTTGAGCTTCGAACAGTTTTTGTGGCCACTGTTATCTTTTATGGTGACCGAGGTGATCCTTTTTATGGCTTGGCAGAACCTCGCATTTTGTTTTTTCCAGAGAAAGCATCACTGGAAGGTAGAAAGGTTCTTGTTATTGATGACGTTTGGGATACAGGTAGAACTTGCAAAAAGGTAGCTGAAAGATGCATACGTTCGGGAGCTGAGTGCAAAACTGCTGTGCTACATTACAAACCTTCTCGAACGCAGTTTTCAGATTCGAAGCCTGATTTCTTCTCTGTGACTACTGATAGGTGGATTGTATATCCTTGGGAATTGCATTCACCTGTGACACGGGATCTAATGCCTACCTAACTGTGTTGTGCCTGTTTTGAGAGCTATGAAAAGCACATTCTAAATTTTGTTTGGTTATTTCTTCTTGGCGATAATGTCTTTGCATGTATTGAAAGATTCCACTGAAAGATAAAATTCCTATCTTTATTGACAGTTGTCAATTTTGTATTCTGGAAATATCAATGAAGCACAAGAAACAGCGAGACTTTTCATAATACTGTTAAAAAGTGAAACTTGACTTTGAGATGTTCACTAAACCCTGTAAAATATTATCTGCTGATTCCTTTATCACACTTTGTATCTTGCTATTATTTGTGCAGAAGTTGGACAGAATCGAACCATTTCAATCTGAGTTTCATAAGAATCTAACCACAAGTATCATTGTACTATCACAGCTATTTGTCACATATTAATTGGCATTTGTTTGAAGCTTTGCATACCAAAGGAAACTTTAGTTTTTTTATTCAAAGAGCGTCATCCTTGCAAGAGAAATGAATGAATTGCAAAGTGTTGAGCATTCATAGACGATGGAGTTGCTTCATGTAAATGACGGCCACGCTGCCACTCTTGAGAAACCTCCAGTTTTTGATAAAGAAACCAAAAGGGTTTCTCCTCATGTTGCGAGAATGACTGCCATTTCAGAACTAGTAACAGAAATAAGGAAGCTTTTTGAAGATGGGCAACCTATCCAGTTACAAAAGCTTATCTCAAACGTCTCCAAGAAACATTCACTTGAAGAGTTTCCTAAACTTATGGAGATTCTTGCAGCCGTGCCAAACGATATGAGAGCAAAGTTATATCCTGTGTTAAAAGCGAAACCAGTGCGCACTGCTTCAGGAATTGCAATCGTGGCCGTTATGAGTAAACCCCATCGCTGTCCTCATATTGCAACAACCGGAAACATATGTATATATTGTCCAGGCGGTCCGGATTCAGACTTTGAGTATTCCACTCAAAGCTATACTGGATATGAGCCTACCAGTATGCGCGCAATACGGGCACGTTATGACCCTTATCTTCAGGTGAAAAACCGAATTGAGCAGCTGAAAGGTTTGGGCCACTCTGTAGATAAGGTTGAATTTATTCTCATGGGTGGAACTTTTATGTCACTGGATGCTGAATATAGGGACTATTTTATTCGTAACTTGCATGATGCCCTGTCTGGTCACCATTCTAGAGATACCTATGAAGCTGTTATGTACTCAGAAAGAAGTCATCAAAAGTGCATCGGTTTGACTATTGAAACTCGTCCTGACTTTTGTCATCGTCCTCATTTGAATGCAATGCTGTCTTATGGCTGTACGCGATTAGAAATCGGCGTTCAAAGTGTTTTCGAAGATATAGCGAGAGATACTAATCGTGGGCATTCTGTTCAAGCGGTTTGCGACTGCTTTTGTTTGTCAAAAGATGCTGGTTTTAAAGTAGTCGCTCATATGATGCCCGACTTGCCGAACACTGGTTTTGAAAGAGACTTGGAAAGTTTTCGTGAATTTTTTGAAAATCCTTCCTTTCGAACAGATGGATTGAAGATATATCCCACCTTAGTCATAAGAGGTACAGGCCTTTATGAGTTGTGGAAAGCAGGGAAGTATAAAAATTATCCACCCGGAGTTTTAGTGGAACTTATTGCACGAGTTTTAGCTATGGTTCCTCCTTGGGTGCGAATCTACAGAATCCAACGAGATATTCCTATGCCTTTGGTTTCATCTGGAGTAGAAGTTGGTAATGTAAGGGAGTTGGCTCTTGCAAGATTGCGAGAACTTGGACTATCATGTCGCGATGTTCGTACACGAGAAGTAGGCATTCAACAGACACATTTCCACATCATTCCAGAATGTGTTGAACTGGTTCGTCGTGACTATGTTGCGAATGGAGGGTGGGAAACTTTTCTTTCTTTCGAAGATGTCACACAAGACATTCTTGTTGGTCTTTTGCGGTTGAGAAAATGCAGTTCGCTTGCTTTTCGTCCGGAACTCACAGAGTTTCCTAGTTCAATAGTACGTGAACTTCACGTGTATGGAACCGTGGTTCCAGTCCATGATAGAGATCCCACCAAGTTTCAACATCAAGGAATAGGAAAGCTATTAATGGAAGAAGCAGAAAGAATAGCACTGGAAGAGCATGGCTCAGAAAAACTTGCAGTCATTTCAGGAATCGGTACCCGTAATTATTATAGAAAGTTGGGTTATGTCCTACAAGGTCCGTATATGGTAAAATATTTGATATAATAGGAATTTTGATGTCATCTTGTCTGTTTACATACTATGAGTATCATAACTGGCAGGAATTACGAAAGTCACTCCCGAATGGTATGAGTTGAAGTAGCCTATTCTGTAGCATATCTTCAGCAGTTTTTGAAATTTCCTGTTTGTATAAACTATACGTTTGGTTCGTTTGGATTATCATGGTTTTCTAAAACAAAAAAAGGGAATGTTCAACTTTGTATTTTTGCCAATTTCGTTCAAACTATACACCAATAAGGTCATATAAAAAATAATGGAACCTGTTCCATTCTTATAGCTAGCGCAACTGTAGTTGAATGCATTTGCACAGCAACTGACTATTCTGTATCTTGATGAAATCACATTGTAAATGAAACCTATCTATTGCCAATAATTGGAACTTGGATTCTCAATGTTTATATTGTTCTTTATAGCTCAATGCTTCTAATGATCCATTCCTTCGAATGGAATATTTGGAACAATACCGGAGTTCATCACGTCATACATCCTTTGTCCGAATGTCTACTTTTATGTAGTGACAAATAGTCCTTACAAGGAAAACTACTAAGAGCAACATATTCAACTGCTCTCAGTTGAACTAGTATTTTAAGGACAAAGCTCCAAGTGAAAACTGCAGAATGTCAGGCGTTACTTTACTGGTTGAACAGATCGACAAAATGAGGTATGGAGATATAAAACTCTAATTTCTTTCACAGTAGCTAATTTTTTAGTAACTGCTATAATCACACACGATTAGCAGCAAGACGCTGTTGACGACTGTTAGTAGAGGCACATAGCTGGTAACAGCTACCCGTGCTTGTTTCCGTCTTAGGAAGAATACTCAGGTAAGGATACAATATTAAAAAAATTCCTGGAAAAACAATGAGCTTCTCGACGAATTGACTGCGAGACAGAGTTTCAATTAGTCTTACATCTTCAGTTATATCAAGTTTTGTATTTTTTTTGCTGTATTTGTAATATTTCTGCCATGGAAACAGTTGCCCTATCCAAAACTCTTCTTTAAAGCATGAAACCTGCTCTTATTATGAGTTGGAAAGTATAATAGGTACAGATCGGTTAGTGCACAAGATGTCAAAAAAGAAGTAGGAAAACTCAGGCAGAAGATTCTTTAAGCAATTATGGTTTCCAGTTGAAATTCAAGACGCAGTTACAGTTAAGGTTTTAAGAATGTTAGAAAATTGCTACAATCTTACGTTCACCATTTTTGGCAATATGCCGACTAAATAGCAAAAGAACTCTCCACTTCATACAATATATTGGATAAAATTTTCCCTCCAGCCGTTTTGTCTACAATCACGACTTACTTCGCAGAGTCTCTTTGGGCCTTCCGTAACGAATCTGGAACAATTGGATTGTCTGTTGATTCACCTTTCTTTCCTAGAAACTTAGAGGAAGATTTGCCTAACCAATGGTGTCCAAGAAGACAACAAGTACTTTAGGTTACAAGTCGAAATACGACGTTTTCGAAAGCCAAGGAGACCGCGATCCAATTCAACAATTGTTTTAATGAATCAACAGGAGACTATTTCTTGGCAGTTGTTTGAACTACAGTCCCAACACGAGAACGGAGAATATAGCATATTATTACAAAAATCACATAGGATCTTACAAACTTTGAGTTCTTTGGATACTTCCGATGCCGCAAACGTTATTGCTAAGAAGCAACTTTTGTCTGCTCTACAAGCAAGGTGCTTCGCTCTTTTGAGATTGGGAAGAACAAAAGAAGCTTTACAGGGTATCGATAAGTTACTTTCCTATCCTTTAGATTCGATTTTTTCCAAGGAGAAAAAGGCAGAGATACTTTACTATAAGGCATATGCACTCTATAATGCGTACCAACTAGAAGAGGCCTTGGAAACCTGCCAGAAGATTAAAGAATTAGATCCCCAGAGAGGTGCTCTACACTTGGAGGCGCAGATTCTCTTTCGCTGCGCTAGGTGAGTTGGGTCAAAAGCAAACACCTTCTCTCTACTGATTGTGAAACACAAAGGTATAAGGAGGCTTCACAGCTTTTCTGCCAGTTTTTGTCTTTTAATCCCACGATAGAGAATATTTGTAATGCAGCATCAGCACAGTTACTTTCTGGTAATTGGAGAGAGGCTTTAAACATCTGTCAGAAGCAACCAGGTTCCTATGAGCTTATGTTTATTGAAGCCTGTGCTTACTGTGAAAGTGAGTCGGTGGAAAAAGCTGAACAGTGTTTACTTGAAGCCATACAACAGTGCTCGAGTGCTCTACAAGAAGATCAAAGGTCGCAAGAAGAAATAGAGGAAGAACTTTTGCCTCTAAAGACACAGCTAGCCTTTGTTTATCAATTGTCTGGTCGTGAGGCTAAAGCAGAAGAACTTCTTCATGATATAGTTACGAAGAAAGGGAATGATTGGAACTCATATTCAGTCGCAGTTTGCAATCTTGTCGCTTTAAGAGGTTATCGTGAAGTTCACGACTCGTTAAAACGTCTCAAGTCGATTATTACTAAGAAGAGCTTTGTAAAATTGACTCATAAGCAACAGGTTGCGATTCTATTGAACCGTATACTTCTTCTATTGCATCTCAGGAAGTTTGATGCTTGTATCTTGGGATTAAACGAACTAGTGAAACGAGAAGAATGGGAGTTGGTTCTTCTTCTGAAATGTTGTATTTTGGATAGACAAAGAAAGTGGGATGAGGCTTCCCAATTTGTTCGAGACTTTGCTATATCGCATTCTGATTTGTCTTTGCAATGTGACGCAATACTGGCACAAATGGCCCTTAATAAGGGAGACTTGAAAATGTGCATCGATGTATTGAAACATTCTAAGAACCTTTCACATTATCCTGGCGTCATATCTACAGTTGCCTGTTTGTATGAAATGCTGGGAGAAACGGAAACCGCAGTTGAAATCATGAGAGAATTGGTTCAAAAGCCTGGAGCAACTGCTGAAGAATCCAAAAAGTTGATGATGTCTATTGGATATTTATTGAGAAGGAAGCACTTGTATGATCGAGCCAAAGAACTACTGGATGATCATTTATTCAATTATCCAAACGATATAGAAGTTGTAGCAGAAAATGTTGTCGCCACTTGTCATGTTGATTTAAGTGCTGCTGTAACTTGGGCCGAGAAGTTACCATCGTTGGCTCTTGATTCTCCTTCCTTGACTGAGGAGACAGAATCTAAGTTTCTTGGCTTGATCTTACGTTCTTATCATTCGTCGAATGGTGAACAAGACGCAAAAGACCATGATAGAAATAAAAACTTACGAAAGAAGAGACGACGGGGAAAGAAACCTTTGCCTAAGGGATATAATCCAAATCAACCACCACCAGATCCCGAAAAATGGCTTCCAAGGTCCGCACGGAATTTGCAGAAGAAGAAGAAGAAGAGCAGCAAGCATCATGAGATTCCTAAAATGCAGGGTGCCGATGTATCTAAAGTTGATAATAGTATGGATTGGCAAAGGAATGCTAGTTCTCAAGTGAATGACAGTCTATCAGATAGACCAAAAGGAAGTAGTCGACGAAAGGCTCCTAGAAAACGAAGATAAAATTTTTCAAATACTTTTGTTTACGAACTTTATGAAACAAATTATTCTGTGATGAGATTTAACCAGAAACTTTTTGTTGTGCTTGGACCATATTTTCTTTTATCCAGTGAGTTGTCACACTCTTTGGACGTTCGATCGGTAGACCCAACGCTCTGTCCCATACTAAGCTTGACAAAGTTCCCAGAGCTCTACTAACACCAAAAAGAACAGTATAGAAAGTCATTTCTTTGACTCCATAGTAACGTAACAAGGTTCCACTATGAGCATCGACGTTTGGCCAAGGATTGCTTACTTTTCCCTGCAAATAAGAATGTTAGTTTTTCTATCAAAATGGTTGGAGTTGCTTTATACCTGTTCTGTAAGTACTTTTGGGACCACTTCATATAAGAGAGATACAAGTTGAAAAATTTCATCATTTGGAAGGTGTTTCAAAGCAAACTCTCGTTGACAGGAGTAACGAGGATCGGTTCTCCTCAACACTGCATGGCCAAACCCAGGAATAACATTACCTGAGTTTAAAGTTTCCCAACAAATCTTTGTCAGATTCTCTTTTGTGGGACTTTGACCACCCAACTTTTCCTTTACTTGCAGTAACCATGTAAGCACCTAGAAAAACGCTATAAGTATAAAAATAAATAAATACCAACTAAAAAGAAACTTACATTTTGATTGGCCAAACCATGTAAGGGTCCGGCCAAACCATTCATTCCTGCTGAAAATGCCAAGAAAGGATCCGAAAGTGCTGAACCAACCAGACGAACTGAGTGCGCTGAGACATTTCCACCTTCATGATCGGCATGAATAGTCAAATAAAGTCTCATCAATTCATCAAACTCAGGATTCTGAAAGCCCATCAACTTGGTCAATCTTGTGGACATATCCAACTTCAGATCTGCTTCTAGCTGCTTTCCTTGATGGTAAGTATTTCTATAA